TATGCCAAGAGATAATTCAGGTCTAATAAGAACCTCATGGACAAAAGAAAGATGCTTTTGCAAAAGGAGCCAGCCGGAAGGTCAAGAGCAGAGGACAGTATGCAACTATTGTAAAGAACACAATACAAAAGAAAAGGAGGCATGCCTAACCTGGGAAAAACATTGCTTTAACTGTAAAAGGATGTATGATTTTGTGCAGAAGTGTTCCATTGGGAAAAAAAAAACAAAGCAAGACATCTGGAGAGATATCAGATGATGATCCTGATGAATACTCTACACCATACAACAGGTTGGCATTGTCAAGTCTAAAGATGGAAGATGGTTTGTATTTCTTAGAATGATTGTATATGTGACAGTTGAAAGAGAATATGAAATGAATATAAAGTGTCAGATTGCCACATCGTGCAACATCTAATGCTTTGCAGACCTGTGCAAAGTGCCTAAAAACCGTGAGCCAAAATGAAACCTTGATCATCATGTTAAGGCTATACAATAGAAGAAAGTTCACTGCAAATGGACAAAAGAAGCTGAGAGTACAATGTAGTAGGAAGATCAAGATGTTCAGTTCCAGACAGTAGATAATTAGCAAAATCCACTCATCTCAGCTGATGTGAGCCTAATGCTTGGACTGATCAGCCTACACATGCTGGAGGAGATTTGTGATGTTTCACAACACAGTAAGCCATTGACTGGTGAACAGATTTTAGAAGAATACAAAGATGTTTTTGCAGATTTCAATATCTTCCTGCTGAATATCACCTCAAAGCAGATTCGAGAGTGTGACCAACTCAGCATCAGCTGGGGAGAGTTCCTCAAGTCCAGCCTCAAAGACACGATGGAAGAGCTGGAAAGGAAGGGAGTAATCAAGGCATAATTCCTTGAAAGCAGGTAGACAGGGTGGTGAAGAAAGTGTTTGGCATGCTTGCTTTCATTGGTCAGAAGATTGAGTGTTGGAATTGGGATGTCCTGTTGCAGCTGTACAGGACATTGGTGAGGCCACTTTCAGAACGCTGCATACAATATTGGTCACCTTTCTATAGGAAAGATGCAGTTAAACCTGAAAGGGTTCGGAAAAGATTTACAAGCATGTTGCCAGGACTGGAGGGTTTGTGTTATAGGGAGAAGCTGAATAGGCTGGGGTTTTTTTATTGTCATGTGTATTCAAGGTAAAAATACAATGAAAAGTGTGTACCTTCGCTGTACATACATGGCACCAATTCACATTGACTTACAATAAGGTGAGGAAAAAAAAATAACTTCAGAGAGTCCAACTTTCCTTCCGACTGCCACAGATCTGCTTTGGGCTTTCCAGCCCTTGCCATGTCGCCTTCAGCCTCCTGCTCTGGGGCTGCCTCACTGGCCCGATCTCGCTGGCCCCCTCTTGATCCACCGCCATCGCCACAGGACGCAACCCACGTGTTCAGCTCCTGCTGCGTGGTTCCCAGTCGCAACCCAGCTCCTTCCCAACACCCTAGGTAGGTAGTTAAAAGGGGTGGGGGTGGATAGAAATACTAGAGGGAGAGAACATAAAAAAGGAAGGACAAAGAAAGAGAACTGGCGAACACAATGGAGCTCCAAATGAAGTGACTTACGCTGCCACCATCTTGGCAGGTTTTCCCTGGAGCGTCGGAGCCTGGGGAGGGCGGGTAACCTCATAGAGGTTTATAAAATTATGAGGAGCATTGATAGGGTAAATAGCTATGGTCTTTTCCCCAGGGTAGGGGAGTTCAAAACTAGAGGACATAGGCTTAAGGTGAGAGGGGAAAGATTCAACAAGGATCTGAGAAGTAACTTTTTCACAGAGGATGGTGCATGTATGGAACAATCTGCCAGGGGAAGTAGTGGAGGAGGGTACAATTACAACATTTAAAAGGCATCTGAATGGGTAAATGAATAGGAAGGGTTTAGATGGACATGGGCCAAATGCTGGCAAAGGGGACTAGGTTGGCGTGCATGAGTTCGACCAAAGGTCTGTTTCCATGCTGTATGACTCTATGACTTTATAACTGACAGCTCTGGCAAACGGGATTAGCAGCATGGTGAATTGGGGTGGCAAAACTGAGAGAATGCATGGATTCAAAATCCCTCAATAAAGCTTTAAAGAGAACTCTCAATGCCAACCATTGAAGACGTTTTGCCATAACCTGCCGAGACACAGGTCTTTTGTACCAAGATGTGAACGGTGATCAACGGCAAGGGGAGCCAGATTCACTTCTAACTGCATTCAGGATACCACTTTTTGAGTCATAGAATCGTACAGCACAGAAACAGACCCTTCAGTCCAACTAGTCCATGCCAACCAGGTTTCCCAAACTAAACTAGTCGCATTTACCTACATTTGGCCCATATCCCTTTAAATCTTTCCTAGTCATGTACCTGTCCAAATGTCTTTTAAATGTCGTAACTGTACCTGCATCTATCTATCTTTGGCAGTTTATTCCGCATATGAACCACTCTCTATCCCTCAGGTCCCTTTTAAATCTTTCTTTTCTCACTTAAAATTATGCTGTCTAGTTTCCGACTCCCCTACTATAGGGAAAAAACCTTTGCTATTCACCTTATCTATGCCCCTCACAATTTTATAAACCTCTGTAAGGTCACCCCTCAACCACCTCCTCTCCAGGGAAAAAAGCCCCAGCCTATTCAGCCTGTTCTTATAATTCAAACCTCCAGTCCCAGTAACATCCATGTAAATCTTTTCTCTACGCTTCCCAATTTAATAATATCCTGTATGTTTGGGGGATAAAGGTGTTGTGCACATCATCTGGCACTTCCACAGCTCTGGATGAGTGAAAGGCAGACAGCATGAGATAGTGATCCTCCCAGAGTGGAAGCTACTCTGGATAATCTGTGGATGTGGAGATGCAATGGAAGAAGCCAGTGCTGACCATGACCTGAATCCGGTGCAACTTCTAGAGAGATTTCACCAGATGCACCTGAAGTTGAGCAAGAAGAGATGCAATTAAGGATGTCTGGAATCAAATGTAGAGATTGGGTACTGACAACAAAGACTTTTCCAGATTACAATGTGCTAAGAGCTGTATTACACATGCAGCGACTAGGATATGTGAACGTAATGATATATTTGTTGGATTCATGAGCTCCTGAACAAAAGTCTTGTCTAAATTATGATCAGGGGATGAACCTTCTTGCATGCTCGCTGTTAAGGATGTGCAGTGGCATTGGAGCATAGAGCAGGAAGCAACTCTCACTTGAACTAAAACTCTAACGATGACACCAATGCTGAGGTAAGCAGTTAGGTCACCTTGCAGTGTGATAGCAATAAGGCAGGACTTGGAGTGACCCTTGTACAGCAAGGACAGCAAACTGACCAATGCCACACTCGGATTGAGAGTGAGTGTCTGGCACTCTGTCACGTGAGGTGACAGTGGAGTGTAACCACAGAATACTTCAAAGCATCTTTCTCAAACCACTCGTCTCTGCTCTAAAAGTGATGTACGTGTCAGAGAAGCTAATGCACATTGCAGATGTGCTGTTGAGAGCAGTACTCCCAATGACAAAAGTTAAGGTTTCTAAGGCAGATTCAAACAAAAGAGGTATCTGAATCTGAAAAACAAGCAAACTACGCACCAAGTTGCAACTCTTCAAGTACTGAACCAAATGGTGATGAATGGATGACCTAAAACCACCAAGAACACACTTATTGCTAAATGAATATATTGGGCATACAGAGATCAACTGATAGCCCAATGAAGTATCTCGTTCAAGAAAAATAGTATCACAATTCGTAAGGAGATGAGAAAAGAGATGCTGAAGCATAGCCATACAAGCCATCAATAAATTGTGTCCAATCTAAAGAAGACAGAGTTCTACTGGTCAAACATGAGCGATGACATTAAACACCATGTCAGCCCAGTGCACTGCTTGTAACAAGTATTTGGATAAATGCATTTGTAAGGACACTGTATATTTGTGACTAGCCATAGCCGTATGATTTCTGTTGCTTTCACTTTAGATGGAGTACTCATTAAACATTGAGCATGAAACAAAACTCTACTATAAAACTGCACTGCATCATTCCAAAATCATTGCATATTTACTTAGCTATGATGCCCAGAACTGAATGGAGCCCTCAAGATGGGGTATGACAAGGCTGTACACAACTGGAAGGGTATACCTTCTACCCCTTGTATTCCTAGAGATAAAATCCAAATTCCTTCAGCATCAGAAAGCAAATGACTGTGACGCTAGAAATCTTAAATAAAGACAAAGAGTGGTGGAGAAACTCAGCAGCTCTGGCTCTGTCCGCAGAGAGAGCAACAGACTTAACATTTCAATTTAGTACGACTATACTTTGGAACTCTTCATTTCAGTTTTGAAGAAGGGTCATGCTAGACCCGAAACGTTAACTCTGTTTCTCTCTCCACAGATGCTACCAGACCTGCTGAGTTCTTCCAGCAATTCCTGTTTTGATTTCTTTAGCATTCTCAGTAGTACTTTGTAACCATAGCTTTGTGAGATTTGCATATGAACATTTCCATCTCTTTGATCCTCTATTATTCCTAGTTTCTTAAGTTTAGAAAGTATGGCCTCATTTAAGTTGCTTGGCTCCAAAGTGAAGATTTTGTGGCAGTCTTGAATATGCCTTTAATCTGAATATATCCACTGTGCATTCCTGTTCTCATCCTCAATATCTACTGAATCTCTCAACAAAACTCACTATATCTGTAAATTTGCTTATACAGTTCTCCGTTCCTTCATCCACATCCATGATAAGTGTTACAAAAAAAATTAAGACTGTACAGATTCATGGGAACACTAGTAATTAAATCCTCCCAAAACAGGCCTTTGTTCCTCCTCTCTCCATGCTACCTTTCAATCAATTTCCAATGCATGTCATAAGGTAATTTTGTGTCATTTCACAGTTGCTCAAAAATTAGAGAGATGTTTTAGGAGAGAAGGTTGTCTTTAATTAATTGTGTCTGTGCTTGTATTAACTCTGCAAATTTGATGATCCACTGTAGTCCCAAATTTTCAGCCCTATTCCATGTGTTACATCTCCTTTGCGGATGCATACCCAGTTCTATTTAAAAGATATTCCATCTCAATAGCTGCATCCGATAAAGCATTGCACAGCTTGCTAATCTTCAGAATGAAAACACATCTTTTACCTCTGCTTTGTTCTGATAAAAATCTGAGTATTCCTGTCAGCCATCTAGTAAAAAGAACCTCTCACTATTTATTCTCGACTCCATTTATAATTTTGAAAGCCTCTATTGCATTGCATTGCATGCCCACCACTTGACCTTCTGTTTTTTTCCAGTGAAAAGATTCCATTTTTGTCAACCTTTGGAGCTATAACTCTCCTTATCTGTTTTCATTCTGGGAAATTCTCTTTGACTGTGGAATTACAGGACACAGCTCTGTTGGCTTTTACAAACTGAATTCACTTCCTTGCTTTTCTATTTAATGTGTGCATATAATCTTGAATTATCATTTCTTTTTTCATGGTTTTTTTTAAACTATCCTACCAGCTTGCAGACCCTCCGAGTTCCACTGCCCCTTCATTTCCTCTATTCTCTGTTGTGCATTCCCAATCTCTCTGTACTTTGCTTCTTTATTATATTGCTTTCTGTTCTAATCCCTTTGTTTATCCATGGAATCCTACTTGTTGACAATCCACTCTTTGCTTATAAGTATTTGAGATGCACCCATCCTATTATGAAATTTTGACCCCTGCTTGTTTGCTGTTCCTTCCAGTCAATAGTTTTGGATTGGCTACTCTTTCATCTCACTGCAATGAGCTAATTTCCAATTTAACAGAATTATCTTGAATTCACTTTCCTTTTATGTATTTCCAATAAATCTAATTTTCCAGTCGTCACTGTTTACCCATTAGTCTCTTGCACATCCTACTTTGTTATTCATTACCAGATTTAACATTGCTCAGATTAAAGTAATAATCTTGAATGCAATTTGGAGACCCTGCTCACGTTGACCTTAAAATGTGCTCCTAAAACAACAACACGTCCGTTGTTATTTGTTAATTCAACCCAGATGGACTCAGGCTGAGCAACACTGACAATTTAAAGAATTCTTTTCGGCAGCTGTACTAGCCAGGCTTTCAGCTTCCCCTCTCTCTCTCTCTCTCTCTCTCTCTCTCTCGAAAATTTTCCTCTGACATCTTACTCTTTGGCTTCAGTCCAAGTTTCCACCAACATTAGAACATCATATCCCCCATTCTAATTTGTGCCTCTAGTTTTCTGCTTTTGTTTCTACCACTATTTCCATCCATATATAACCATCACAGTACTCCATGCCTTTGTTTTTCTCCTTATTCATGATTGTCCTTTGGGCGGCATGGTGGTTCACAGGTGCTGCCTCACCACGCCAGGGACCCGGGTTTGATTCCTCCCTCAGGTGACTGTCTGTATGGAGTTTGCACATTTGCCCTGTATCAGTGTGGGTTTCTTCTGGGTGCTCAGTTTTCCTCCCACATTTCAAAGATGTGCAGACTAGGTGGATTAGCCATGGGAAATGCAGACTTACAGGGATAGGGTTTGGGGATGGGTGGTGGGTCTGGGTGAGATGCTCTTCAGAGAGTCAGTGTGGCCAGATGGCCTGTTCCACACCTGTAGCAATTCTATGATTCTCAACCCTTAAATTCAGGCCCAAGTTTCAACTCTCCATACAAAGCCTTGAGTTGACTGTTTCAGACAGTTTTACCCTTTCACTGTTCTTAATCTTGAAAGCTCCCACAAAAATTCACCATACTCACATGGAACCTGCCCCCTTTAATCATTAGCCTTGTGTCAAATGTATCCACAGATTTGAAATTGTTGCTCAGTCTCTATTCTTTAGGATAAAGATCAGTCTGGTTTTGAACCAGACAATCAGCTTTTGAGATTGATGAAATTATCCTGTGGCTTTGGGACAAAGTGGACATGTAATTGTCACTTTCAGTTGCTGAATCTAATAAACATTGTAGATGCAAATAATCGGATTAGTTTTGCGTTCACGTGTGTGAATGGACGTGTTTTTCACTTGGGTACATTGCTTTTGAAACAACATTGCCATGTGCTTAAGAGTTGGACTGAACTGAAAGCAGCAACAAGGATTGTGAAAGAAAAGTGTTTTTCTCACTCGAGCTTCTCAATCTGTTATAGCATCATCTCATGCATTCAGCACCACTGAAGTAAAGGACAAAAACATTATACTGATCCAATTCAAAGTCCCACTAACGTTCCCCAAGGACTGAAAATCTTATAAAGTAAATGTCTTTGAAACTTGATTGAAATGTTTTGTAAACCTGTGCTACACTTGACATGCGAATCTTGCTTGTTCACACTGACAGTACCAACTATCAGATGAATCTTGAATGCTGATATTGTGAAGGATACACTGGTATAATGCTGATGTGATATAAGGAAAGTCCCATGTGATTTGCATGCTGTTAATATTTGCTTTTGCGAATGAGCAGATGGGATATGCCAATCCAGAGCAAACTGCAGCAGGACTCCATACCCGCCTGTACAGTCGAGCTTTTATTGTGGCAGACCCTAGCAGTTCAAAGAGGGTGGTGTTTGTCACCGCTGACATTGGAATGGTATCTCAGAAGCTCAGATTAGAGGTAAGCACTCATGTACCTATCCTGATTGACATCTTTTGCTTTCTTTGTATTGATTCACATGGCCTAAACAGCAGTCATTAAACCACTGTAGAAGCCCTAGGCAAACAAAAGTACGCAAACTGTTGAATTGTTTCATTTCCATTGCCAGGAGGAGCAGAAATGCCAAAAAAACATTCGCAGTTTGCAGCTGCTGACCTGAGTGTTGTCTGCAAACCACCTCTCTCATCCAGTTCAGACTCCAGATTGCTGCCTAATTTGAGCTAGAAACTGGAAGGAGTTGAATCTCTGCTTCATTGCTTTTTTTCCATTTGCAGGTTTGACTGTGTTTTCTTTGTTATCTTCACAGGAAGCGTGACTGTCCTTCAGGATTTATTTATGCTATAAAGGCTTCATGCATTTTCATCTTGCTGAGAGGGCAGAACAATCTGTTTAATCTTTTTATTGTATTAAATGATACTAAGTTTGGATAATGCTCTGAATTTCCAAATGTGTCCCAGAATTTCTTTCTCTTTCTTCCCATAGCTATTGTTGACCTTTATTCGCTGGGCAGTATGAAAGTACACTTCATCTTCTTACAGCTTTGAACATTGAAAGCAGGGAGCAGAATATTTTCTCCAATCTGCTGTAATCAAAGAACAATGATGCATTGTGGATTTACACCTCATTTGAAATGTTTCATGCTTGTTAATATATATACTAGCTATCCACCTGCATTTCTTTTGTTTGTATTACAAAAGGCAAAGTCAGTGATGAGCCTGACATTGCCTATGGATAAATTATAGGAATCTCAAAATGAACATGATGTTAATGCTTAATAACTTCAATTCCAAAAATGAGTATCTAGCCTATGTATATTCTTAATTTGCCTTTATGTTCAAGACTATATCACCAATATGTTGATCAAGATAATATAGTTTCTTAAAACTAATACTGTTACATGTGTCTACTTTAGGTTCTAAAAAGACTGAAGAGCAAATACAGAGATCTCTACAGGCAAGACAATGTTGTCTTGAGTGGGACTCACACCCACTCTGGCCCTGCAGGTTACTTTCAGTACACTCTCTGTTTGATCACAAGCAAAGGTTACATCAAGCCATCCATCAATGCCTTAATTAATGGCATAACAAAGGTTAGACATTCTGCTCTGTATTGTACTATTCGATAATGTTTATGTGTTTGAATGTAATATTTTGTACAATTACTACATTAGCCATTGGATATTGATGAATTAAGTAAAATGTGGATCAGATGCATAGAAGGGCAAATCCCCCTTGGCATTGCTGACTGATAGAGGAAGAACATTCTAATGTTCATCACAACCAATAGATCACTTTGGAAAAGCTGTCACTATTGGTAATGCAGCTATCACGCACAGCATAACAGGAAACGAATAAATCATAACATAATCTGTTTTTTTTTTGAGAAAAGATTATGAACCAAAATATGCCAAGACATCCCCTCTTGGTGTCAAGCACTGCTGCAGATCTTTTTCATTTATCTGAGCAGATTGAGAGATTGACAGCTCATCAAAAAGTTGGCCCCTCAGAAATTGTACACTCTCTCATTGAAGTGTTTGCCTAGATGATATGAGCAAGTTGGCCCCATACTTGGAGTGCCTAAATTTTTGATCTGGGCCAGTGTCAGATGGCCTTGAAAATAAGAGAGTGAGTCACTCTATTAACCAGTGTCTGTTCCCAATGCAGGCAGCATTCAAATCTTACGCTTCCCTCAGTGGTGATTAACTTTCAAACAAACTCCTGTAACTCCCCAATTTCTTAATCCTTCAAAGGAAATTTAACAACTATTCATTGGCACTTGGAAGCAATTCGCAATTTGCAGTTCAGGTGATTTATTGCCTTATGTTGATGGTGTTTAAGCCAGTCAAATATAAAGGCAGCCAAACAGTTTTCACATGTTCCTGCTTCCCAAATTTGATGCTGTCCCTAAGTGCAATCAGTGTGTTTCGGATTTCCATACTATTCTGGATGTGTATTTGGCTGTAATTATATCAGCAAATTAATGTTCAGAGCCACATTTGGACTTAATCAGATACAGCTCTGAATAGCATCATTACAATTGAAAAGGTTTCTAATGATCTCATTTAATGATATATCACTCAAGAAGGATGGTCTTTTTTTTTAAATAACACTGGTTACCGTTTGGAGTTTTAACTCCAGGTATTTTTTCAATGAGCTCTTGCTCTCTTTCAGCCTGGGTAGGTCTTTCCTTGGCTCAATACCAAGGTAAGAGATCAAGGTTCAAACAGGAAATCCTTATTACTTCACTTCCTGTCACCTTATGTGCTCAGCAAAAGTATATTCCAATGAAAAGGAAGGACTGTAAGAAAAGGGGTAATCTGCCATAGGTGTCTAAAGAAATAAGGGAGGCTATCAAATTGAAAGAGAAGGCATACAAAGTGGCCAAAAACAGCATGAAACTAGAAGATTGGGAAAACTTTAAAGGTCAACAGAAAGCCACAAAAAGAGCTATAAGGAAAAGTAAGATAGAACATGAGAAAAAACTAGCACAGAATATAAAGACAGATAGGAAAAGTTTCTATAAATATATAAAACAAAAAAGAGTGGCTAAAGTAAACGATGGCCCTTTAGAGGATGAGAAGGGGAATTTAGTTATGGGATATGATGAAATGGCCGAGGCATTGAAAAGGCATTTTGTATCGGTCTTCGCAGTGGAGGACACTAATAACATGCCAGTAATTGACAAAGAGACAAAGGTAGGTGAGGACCTGGAAACAATCATTATTACGGAAGAGGTAGTGTTGGGCAAGCTAATGGAGCTAAGGATTGATAAGTCTCCTGGCCCTGATGGAATGCATCCCAGGGTACGAAAAGAGATGGCGGGAGAAATAGCAGGTACACTGGTAATTTTCCAAAATTCGCTGGACTCTGGGGCAGTCCCAGCAGATTGGAAAACAGCAAATGCGACGCCACTGTTTAAAAAGGGAAGTAGACAAAAGATGGGGAATTATAGACCGGTTAGCTTAACCTCTGTAGTAGGGAAGATGCTTGAGTCTATTATCAAGGAAGAAATAGCAAGGCATCTTGATAGAAATTGTCCCGTTGGGCAGACGCAGCATGGGTTCATGAAGGGCAGGTCATGCTTGACAAATCTTTTGGAATTCTATGAAGACATTACGAGCAAGGTGGACAATGGGGACCCAGTGGATGTGGTGTACCTAGATTTCCAAAAGGCCTTTGACAAGGTGCCGCACAAGAGGCTACTGCATAAGATAAGGATGCATGGCATTAAGGGTAAAGTATTAGCATGGATAGAGGATTGATTGACTAACAGGAAGCAAAGAGTGGGGATAAATGAGTGCTATTCTAGCTGGCAGTCAGTGACTAGTGGTGTGCCTCAGGGATCGGTGTTGGGGCCGTAATTATTTACAATTTATATAGATGATTTGGAGTTGGGGACCACGTGTAGGGTGTCAAAGTTTGCAGATGACACTAAGATGAGTGGCAGAGCAAAGTGTGCAGAGGACTGTGAAACTTTGCAGAGGAACATAGATACATTGAGTGAGTGGGCAAAGGTCTGGCAGATGGAATACAATGTAAATAAATGTGAAGTCATACATTTTGGTAGGAGTAATAGTAAAAAGGATTATTACTTGAATGGTAAAAAGTTGCAGCATGCTGCTAGGCAGAGGGACCTGGGTGTCCTTGTGCATGAATCACAGAAGGTACGTCTGCAGGTACAACAAGTAACTAGGAAGGCAAATGGAATTTTGTCCTTCATTGCTAAAGGGATTGAAATTAAAAGCAGAGAGGTTATGTTGCAGCTGTACAAGGTGCTGGTGAGGCCACACCTGGAGCAGTTTTGGTCTCCTTACTTGAGAAAGGATGTATTGGCACTGGAGGGGGTGCAAAGGAGGTTCACTCGGTTGATTCCGGAGTTGAGGGGGTTGGCTTATGAGGAGAGACTGAGTAGATTGGGATTATATTCATTGGAATTCAGAAGATTGAGGGGGAATCTTATAGAAACATAAAATTATGAAGGGAATAGATAAGATAGAAGTAGAGAGGATGTTTCCACCGGCAGGTGAAGCTAGGACAAGAGGGCATAGCCTCAAGATTGGAGGGGACAGATTTAGGACTGAATTGAGAAGGAATTTCTTCATCCAGAGGGTTGTTAATCTATGGGATTCCTTGCCCAGTGAAGTAGTTGACGCTACTTCAGTAAACGTTCCTTAAAAAAAGGTAGATTTTTTTTGAACAATAAAGGAATTAAGGGATACGGTGAGAATGCGGGTAAGTGGATCTGAGTCCACGAAAGGATCAACCATGGTCTTATTGAATGGCGGAGCAGGCTCGAAGGGCCATACGGCCTATTCCTGCTCCTTGTACTTATGTTCTTATGACTATATCATATGCCCTCACTTGCTCTGCCTCTGAAGGCTATAAACTTATTGATTCACTGAAAGGTTATAAACTGACAAGCTAACGTAGCAGCCCTTAAACACATAGGTAAGCCGAACACATTAGACTTATAGTTCTTCCTCATCAGAAAATAACAGTCACATTTGTTACATTAGACTGGTGTATAATTAGGTCTGGGTCCATGCCCTTTAGGTGTCAGCATGGGTCAGTCAGGAGCACACTTGGCTCTGAGTCTAATGGTGCTGGATTCAGATTCCACTGCAAAGACTTGAGCACATAACCAAGACTTCAGTTTAGAAGGGACGCTGTGCATTTTAAGATGTTACCTTCCAGATGAAGAGTGAAATGGAGGACCTGTTTACTTCCTTTGGTGAAAGATCTCAGCAGAATTCAATGGTGTTCCCTGGTATTCCATATTTAACCCTGAACCAGCATCACAAAAGCAAATTAAAAACAGAATAACAGAACATTGCCTTATTATTGTGTTCAAGGGGTTGCCATGTTTCCTGCATTTCAATAATGTCGACTCTTCAAAAGTACTTAACTGGCCACAAAATGCTTCAGAATGTCCTGAAGTAATGGAAGCTCTAGAGAAGGGTATATTTTATTTTCTCTCTTTTATTTTTTCTCTCTCCTTCTCATTTTCTTCTTCTCTCTCCCTCCAAAGGGAGGACAGAGAAGAGGAAATTTAAATATATCTGATCAAGAGATTTGGGATAGTTTACATTTAAAGTGACAGTTAACCAGGAATAGGAATCTGATCAATGGGTTTAAGTGGTTTCTGTAACGAATAACATAGCCATGACTGAGTTACCCACACCAGTGCAATCAATGAGTTTGGGTTGGTTTATGTATAGAATAACATGAGGGAAGGAGTTGCAGACTGGAATCTGATCAAAATATTCAAAGGTTTATTTATAGAATAACAAATAACTGGGAGACAGTTGCAGACTTATCTAATTGGTTTGGTGTGGTTTATGTATAGAACAACAGATGCATGGAATCTGATTGGGTTCGGAATAGCTTATGTATAGAATACTAGATACCTGAGAGTGAAGTACAGGCTGGAATGTGATCAGGGGTGTGGGGTGGTTTATATATATCATGACATCAAAGGTAGAAGACAGAGGGAGGGTGGTGGAGGGTTGCTTTTCAGGGTGGAGGCCTGTGACCAGTGGTGTACCACAAGGATCTGTACTGGGTCCACTGCTTTTTGTCATCTATATATATGATTTGGATGTGTACATAGGAGGTATGGTTAGTAAGTTTGCAGATGACATGAAAATTGGAGGTGTTGCGGACAGTGAAGACGGTTACCTCAGAGCAATGGAATCTTGATTAGATGGGACAATGGGCCGAGCAGTGGCAGATGGCTTTTAATTTAGATAAATTAATATTATCAACATCCCGGGGGTAACCATTGACGAGAAACTCACCTGGACTCACCACATAAACACAGTGGCTACAAGAGCAGGTCAGAAACTAGGAATACTGCAGTGAGGAACTCACCTCCTGACTTCTCAAAGCCTGTCCACCATCTACAAGGCACAAGTCAGGAGTGTGATGGAATACTCCTCACTTGCCTGGATGAGTGCAGCCCCAAAAAAATTTGAAGCTTCACACCATCCAGTACAAAGCAGCCCACTTGGTTGGCACCACATCTGCAAGCATTCACTCCCTCCACCGCTGATGCTCAATAGCGGTGGCACTATGTACAAGATGCACTGCAGAAATTCACCAAAGATCCTCAGACAGCACCTTCCAAACCAACGGCCTCTTTCATCTAGAAGGACAAGGCCAGCAGACATACGGGAACACCACCATCTCCAAGTCACTCACCATCCTAATGTGGAAATATATTGCCGTTCCTTCACTTGTTGGGTCAAAATCCTGGAATTCCATCCCTAGTAGCAGCGTGGGCCAACCCACAGCAGGAGGACTGCAGCGGCTCAAGAAGGCAGTTCACCACCACCTTCTGAAGGGCAACTAGGGATGGGCAGGAAATGCTGGCCAGCCAGCGACACCCACATCCCACAACTGATAGAAAAAAAAATGTGAGGTGCTGCATTTCGGAAAGGCAAATCATAGCAGGACTTGCACACGTAACGTTAAGGTCCTGGGGAGTGTTGCTGAACAAAGAGACCTTGGAGTGCAGCTTCATAGTTCCTTGAAAGTGGAGTCGCAGGTTGATAGGGTAATGAAGAAGGCATTTGGTATGCTTGCCTTTATTGGTCAGTGCATTGAGTCTAGGGTATGGGAGGTCAAGTTGTGGCTGTACAGGACATTGGTTCGGCCACTACTGGAAAACTGCGTGCAGTTCTGGTCTTCCTGCAAGAGGAAGGATGTTGTGAAACTTGAAAGGGTTCAGAAAAGTTTTACAAAGATGTTGCCAAGGTTGGGTTTGAGCTATCGGGAGAGGCTGAATAGACTGGAGCTATTTTCCGTGGACCATCAGAGGCTGAGGTGTGACCCTATACAGGTTTATACAATCATGAGGGGCATGGATAGGGTAAATAGGCAAAGTTTTTCCCTAGAGTTAGGTAGTCCAAAACTAGAGGACATATATTTAAGGTGAGAGGGCAAAGATATAGAAGGGACCTAAGGGGTAACTTTTTTTACACAGAGGGTGGTGCATGTATGGAAGGAGCTGCCAGAGGAAGTGTTGGAGGCTGGTACAATTACAACATGTAAAAGGCACCTGGATGGGTGTATGAATAAGGAGGGTTTAGAGGGATATGGGCCAAGTGCTGGAAAATAGCACTAGATTTATGTAGGATATCTGGTAGGTGTGGACGAGTTGGACCAAAGGGTCTGTTCCCATGCTGTATATCTCTGTGACTCTATAAGAGACAAAATGTCAATCAATTGTATAGAAAAATATAACATACAAAATGCCTACATTGGGTTGAATGGCTTAACCTCTTGTGTATTTGTCCAAAGTAAAGTAACAATCTCTGTATCTATTGTATTAATTTAAGTTGGGCCATTTTCTGAAAGTGTGGCTTTTTTTAACCCTATGAGTGCCATGTCACTCGATGAGCATGATGCCTCATAGACATAGTGTCTCTCATGTTAGTTAGCTTCTGGGTAGTTTATGACAGCAACCATCTTTGTTTCATCTTTTAGTTAAGGAAGTAATGTCTCTGAGATGAAATTTCCAAAAATATAGTGTAACTTAATACATTTTCAATAAAATCTTTCCTTAATTACCCACTGCTCTCATCACTCAGATAAATGATGATGGAAGTAAATTGGAAAATGTGCTTCTCAGATAATGGAAATCTTATTGCTTTTGTTTGATTTTATGCTAAATGAAGAAAGCTTATTGAATCTAAGACCATTTCCTGCTCTTAATCATTTGTGTGTACTCTAATGCAATACCAAATTACTTTAGATATAAAATTACAGTCGTTTTTCTTTACAAAAGATGTTTGAAGAAACTTAGTCCCAATGGATGAAATTGTATGGAAACAAGTTAGTTTTAGAAAGTGGAATATCTCCAAATATGAATTGCTTCCTTCCTGTCAAGATAACTTGTTAACAGAGATAGCTTGGTTGTTGATTCACTGATACCTCTCTCCTTCCAGTCAGAGGCAACTGAGGTGTATGAGAACAATTTGGAACAAATTGCTCTTTGATTTTCATTCCCGCTCAATTGGAAGGATTTTAAACACCTCTTGATGCCTCTCTGAAATTAAAACTTTCATGTGGGGATCACAGGAACAAATGTTGTTTTTGAATACTGTGAACATCCTTTTCAAAATGTTAGATATTTGCCTCAAATGATATGGTTAGACCAATTTGGATCTTTGCTGCATTAATATGCTTTATATCTGTCTTTTTCAATTCCTGTTTCTTCAGAGCATTGATATTGCACACAACAACATGAAAGCAGGAAGAATATTTATAAATAAGGGAGAAGTGGAAGGCAGCAACATAAACAGGAGTCCCTATTCTTACTTGCAGAATCCACAAGGAGAACGAGCCAGGTACCCAATGGAAATAAGAGTCAACTGAATAGTTTATAGATTTGACAACTAATCACCAAATCTATATCTGAAATGAAAGCAAGGCAAATAGTGTAACCATAGCAATAGTCAATAGCCAGGTCAATTAGTAAATAGTGCTTGAGATTGTTATTCAGTTATCCATTAAACTGGCTTACAGATTTTCTGTTGATATGGAATTCCATAAACATTGAAAGTCATTAAATTTGGAAGGACAAGTTGTAAAAACAGTTAATAAAGCATACAGTATTCTAGGCTTTATTAATAGAAGCAGAAAGTGGCACAGAGTCATACTGCAAGGAAACAGACCCTTCAGTGCACTCATCCATGCCATCCAAGTTTCCCAAACTAAACTAGTCCCACGCATGGATAAGAGGTCATGTTGAAGTTGTACTAGATGCTGCTTAAACCTCAGATGGAGCATTACATCTTAAGCTGCACTTTAGGAAGCTTGTGAAGGCGCTGGAGACAGTGCAGAAGAGAATGGTTTCAGGAGGAGAAATTTCAGTAATGAAGGTGGATTGGAGAAGTTGATACTGTGTACCTTGTAGAAAAGAGGGTTGAGAGGACACCTGATAGATATATTCAAAATCATGTACAGTCTCGATAGACTAAACAGGAAGAAGTGTTCCCACTTGTGAAAGGATCAAGAATGAGAGGGTAAAGATTTGAAGTAATTAGCAAAAGAAGCAAAATTATGCAAGCAAAATGCTTTTCATAAAACAAATGGCTACGGTCCGCCTGAGACTGTTGTGGAAGCAAGTACGATCAAGGCGTTCAAAAGGGAAAATTAAGTGATTATTTGAAAACAAATAACTTGTAGGGTTATGTGGAGAAGGCAGGACAATAGCATTAAATGAGCTGTTCATTTGGAAAGTTGATGCAGGGAATGGGCCAAGTGATTTCCTGCACTGTAATTATTTTGTAATCCTATTAATTATTTGGCAATTATGCTGTGAAGATCATAAGGTGTGAGAGCAGAAGTAGACCAGTCAGCCCATCAAGGCTCCTCTGCCATTCAATGAGATCATGGCTGATCTGATAATCCTTAATTCCACTTTCCTCATTTATCTCCATAAATTTCAATTTCCTTACTGACTAAAAATCTGTCTGTCTTTGTCTTATTATCAACATGACTTCTAAGCATACTGCATTTGAGAATTCCAGAGATTCACTACCCTTTGAGATAGACAAGTCCGCTCCATCCTTGCTTTAAATGGGTGACCCATTACTCTGTGATTATGCCGTCTGTTCCCAGACTCTCCCGCAATGGCACCCAACCTCTCGGCATCTATTCTGTCAAGCTTCCTAACAATCATTTACATTTCAATAAGGTTCTTTCTTGTTCTTCTAAACTCCAATGAGTACAGGTTCCAACACACTCAACCTCTGCCCAAGAGAAAATCTGCCCATGCCCAAGATCAGCCTAGAGAACCTTCTCTGGATTGTCTCCAATGCCAATATATTTTTCCTTAATTAAGGAGACAAAAGCTGTATTTTAGGTATGGCCTGACTAGTACTGATACAGTTTAATAAGATTTCCCTATTTTATGCTCCATTCCCTTTGGAATAAAGGTTGTATAAAGTCCTTATTACTCATTGAATTTGATGCTCAGGCTTTTGTGATCGGTACATGAGAACTCTCAAATCTCTCTTCTGCAGCTTTCTGCAGTCTTGCTCCATTTAAATAATACTTACATTCATGGTTTTAAAATGTATAGGGTCTTTAAAAAAAAAATGTTGGTACAAGAGCAAAATTCATACCTATAACTAAATACATCAAATCATTTTTCCTTGTTTTGAGTTGTTTCTTCCTTCCATGGTCCCATGCCTATCACTGCCATTGCTGAAGTCACAGACCACAGCTCCATCTAGTGAGTAGCTACTGCACATTCTGCCTGAAGATAGAAACAGTTTCTATTTTTCCTGTCATTCACTGACTGAACCCATTTCACTAAAACAAGATTTCCTAATTATTTATTATGCCAATTCCTTTGGAAAGTACAATATTTGAAGAATGAGCATGTTCTAATTGTTTGCACTAGAGCCCTGGATGTATTTTTTGTGATATTCTGTGACATGCACTGTGGATGGAGACATCTGAGTCTGTATTCTGGGAAGCTACCAGAAGGACTTAAAAGAAAATAGCATTCACTTCTGCCATGACAATTGGGATGTGCTCAGTATCTTTAGGTGTTAGCCATGGTTCAGTCAATAGCACTTTCAGTTTTGAGTCAGAATTGTGAATTCAAGTCTCATTCTATGGACCTGAGCATAAAACTTTGGCTGAAGCTCGAATGCATTCTGTTCACCTATACCACAATGATGACAACGCTTCAAAAGAACTCCATTGACTGGAAAGCCCTTGGGGACATTCAGAGGTCATTAAAGACACTATTATGAATGCCAATCTGCCTTTCCTGTTGTTGGGCATGTAGCATGCTGCTGATGCAGGATGGATGTGATATTTGTCTACTTTACAAAATCACAGGACTACAGAAATAATTGATTATTTCAGTATGGTAAGATTCTGTCTTTTAGCATTGTATAGTACAGTGCCCAGGAACACCAGAGTAATTTACCACCCTCTGGATTAATAATATATTTCCTATAATTAATATACAGCCCGGGCATTCTCATGGATATGTTCCAATGATTCTGTCACATCCAAAACCTTGAATATCCCTGCAGGTCAGTTCAAAGGTCGTCATCATAAAGTTATTCTGTAGCCTTGCTGCACCCTGTTTGGAGAAATCTTGGATAGGTCTGGATAGTTTGGGCCCTCTCTATTTCTCTGCATGTCCATTGCTGCCTGCTGTATGCTCACTACTGGCTGTGGATTTTTTAGAACTACCATTTTGGGTTTAAAAGATAATTCTCCCTCACTCCTATTGCTTAAAAGCTTACATCTTTATCAGTACCTTTTAGATGTTCAGGAGCTTGATATAATTGGAAATTGCATGAATTATGAACAGATTCTCCCAAACAAAATGAGAATTTCCCTTTGCTGAGATCTGTTATTGTCTCCTGAACCAGTCCTGAGATTCAATGCACTTAGGAATTAGCTTGCAGTTGGTTGTGATTTACGACAAGATGGGAGGCATCATCTTTTCAATTTGTTGCTTTTTTTTGAGTGAAATGAATGAAAGCTTAGACAGAGTGATGAAATAAATTCAATAAATAGCAAAAACAGCCTGTTTAATAGCTGAATGAAATGTTATCATTTCTATAGGTACAAATCAAATACAGATAAAGAACTGGTCCTACTCAAAATGGTGGATCTAGATGGACACAACATTGGAACTCTGAGGTACAGAATTTCCACACCTTCAACAATCAGTTTACGAGCTGCAATGCTTTTGACGCTGATGATAGCAATATTTAAACTTGAAAACTCCGAATCAGTATAGACCTGAATTTGAATTGGGGAATCTGATAAAAATTGTGCATATTTGTTTATGAGATTGCATTATTAGCTTTGTTCCTCTAAGCTTTGCTTGGTGGTAGCATTCTTGAATCTGAATGAGAAGGTAACGCCATTGTTTAATCTAGGCTGACCCTCCAGTGCAATACTGAGGAAGTGTCACAATATCAAAAACATTGGTCTGGACTTTCACTGAATCATGATACATTGGGAACTCTCTGAAAATGTTGGGATTCCCACATTATTCCCACTTGCTGCAACTTCCATTGATATAGTAAAAGATGCTGCCAGTGAGCCCATAAGCAGCGCTCCTAACCTTGCTGGACCCAGCTGGGGGTAGTCAATGATTTTAGTCCGTTCACGTCCTTCAATAGTTCACAGCTTCTCAAAGGATACACAAACTATGAGGGAATCTCTATTCCCAAGCGGGAAACACTAGAAAAAATTATTTTCTCTTGGAATATTTTCATTGAAAGGGTTTGAAATGCAATAATAATTGTTCTTTCAGTTTTTAGATGTGTTTTTACTGGAGTATTTGGGAGTCTCTGGTGTCATCATCTGAAATGATTTAAATGGCCTGGATTCTTTAAAAAAACCTTCAGCTACTATCAGTATAGATATAGTTTGGGTATAGTTTGGGAAAAGAGGTCACGCAAGGCACAGTGCCTGAAAATAAAACATGCACAAAGAAGTTCCAAGACGATGTGGATGGACAATGTCAAAACTGTCTCTGTGGGTCAGGCAGTGAGGGCAGTGGGTCAAGATCATTCATGCTGTGGCCAACCGTTGGAGCAAGGGTGGATGACGAGACAAACCAAGATGCACAACAGGATCCCATTTAGACTGAGAAACAGTTTTGGTCTTTCAACACTGTAAATGTCCACTTTGGTGTTTGTGGAAGCATAAGACGTGCGTTTGAATGAGCTATTTATAAAAAATTAAGAATGAAATTATGATGATTGTCAGTCAGCAGTTAGACTGAAGGTACATTGAAGTGAACTGGAATTTGTGAGCTGGGCAGAAGCTCTGTCGGATTGTTTTGTTGCGTTTCTGGGATGAATGTTCTGCTGAGAACACAGGAGAAGGATCCTGGGCTTTAACACCATATTAGGACAGTTTGTAATTAAAAAAACAATCTGTTGTGCTGGGTAGCTTTAACTTACCTGTTTAGTATATTACATTTATTGACTAATTTATAACTTGATACACAGATGGTATTAATATATAGCTTGATACCGAGCATGTTCGATAGGAAGGAGAATATACCCTGTTGGAAATGACGATCACGTACAGCATGTGATAGATGCCAGTAAACTACAGGTCAGAAACAGTCTTTGTCTCAAGCTTGGGTTTGGCTACGCAAGCTGATATATTGAAGGGCTAATGCACACTGTTTTTTTGGCAGCAAGTGTAGGCCATTTAGCCCCTCGGGTATGTTCTGTCATTCATTCAGATCATGGCTGATTTGTGTCATTGCACTGTATTTCTTAATACTGTAGGTACCATAAAACTGCCAATCTCACATTAACTACTAGCAATTGCCCTAGAATCAACTGTTTGTAAAAGACAAGCACACTGAATATAGTCTTAAAACCTCTTTCCATTTCTGAGTCATAGAACAGTACAACACAGTACAGGCCCTTCGGCCCACAATGTTGTGCTGACTTATTATCCTACTCCAAGATCAAACTACCCTGCATACCCTACATTATACTATCACCCATGTGCCTATCCAAGAGTCGCTTAAAAGTCTCTAAAGTATCTGACTCCACTACCACTGCCGGCAGCACGTTCCATGCACCCACCACGCTCTTTTTGAAGAACCTACCTCTGACGTCTCCCCTGTACCTTCCTCCAATCACCTTAAAATTATGCCCCCTCATAATAGTCATTTCCGCCCTGGAAGAAAGTCTCTGGCTATCCGCTCTATCTACGCCTCTCATCATCTTGTAAACCTCTATCAAGTCACCTCTCGTCCTTCTTCGCTCCAATGAGAAAAGCCCTAGCTCCCTCAACCTTTCCTCATAAGACCTGCCCTCCAGTCTAGGCAGCATCCTGGTAAATCTCCTCTGCACCCACTCTAAAGTTTCCACATCCTTCCTATAATGAGGCGACCAGAGCTGAACACAATATTTCAAGTGTGGTCTAACCAGGGTTTTACAGAGCTGCAGCATAACCTCGCGACTCTTAAACTCAATCCCCTGCCAATGAAAGCCAACACACCATATGCCTTCTTAACAGCCCTATCAGCTTGGGTGGCAACTTTGAGGGATCTACGGACATGGATCCCAAGATCCCTCTGTTCCTCCATATGCCAAGAATCCTGCCATTAACCCTGTATTCTGCATTCAAATTCAACCTTCCAAAATGAATCACTTCACACTTTTCTGGGTTGAATTCCATCTGCCACTTCTTTTCCCAGCTCTGCATCCTGTCAATGTCCCATTGCAATATACAACAGCCTGCCACACTTTCCACAACTCCACCAACCTTTGTGTCATCGGCAAACTTACTAACCCACCCTTCCACTTCCTCATCCAAGTCATTTATAAAGATCACAAAAAGCAGAGGTCCCAGAACAGATCCCTGCAGAACACCACTGGTCACCGAGCTCCAGGCTGAATACTTTCCATCTACTATCACCCTCTGTCTTCTATTGGACAGCCAGTTTTGTATCCAGACAGCCAAATTTCCCTGAATCCCATGCCTCCTTACTTTCTGAATGAGCTTACCATGTGGAACCTTATCAAATGCCTTGCTTAAAATCCATATACACCACATCCACTGCTCTACCTTCATCAATGTGCATTGTCATATCCTCAAAGAATTCAATAAGGCTTGTGAGGCATGACCTGCCCCTCTCAAAGCCATGCTGACCATTTGTAATCAAACTGTGCTTTTCCAAATAATCATAAATACTATTTCTCAGAATTCTCTCCAATAATTTGCCCACCACAGAAGTAAGACTGACCGGTCTGTAATTTCCAGGATGATCCCTATTCCCTTTCTTGAACAAAGGAATGACATTTGCCACCCTCCAATCATCTGGTACTACACCAGTGGACAGTGAGGACGCAAAGATCATTGCCAAAGGGGCAGCAATCTCTTTCCTTGCTTCCCGTAGAAACTTTGGGTTTATCCCGTCTGGCCCAGGGGACTTATCTATCCTCATGTTTTTCAAAATTTCTAGCACATCCTCCTTCCTAACATCAACCTGTTCGAGCATATCTGCCTGTTTCATGCTGTCCTGACAAACATCAAGGTCCCCCTCACTGGTGAATACTGAAGCAAAGTATTCATTAAGGACCTCCCCTACCTCCTCTGACTCTGTGCACAAGTTCACTCCACTATCCCTGCTCAGCCCTACCCTCACTCTGGCCATCCTCTTGTTGTGTCCATTAACTCCATAGAATCGCTACAGTGTGGAAACAGGCTATTCGACCCATCAAGTCCACACCGACCGTCTGAAGAGCATCCAACCCAGACCCATCCCCCTACCCTATCCTTGTAACCCTGCATTTCCCATGACTTGACCTACACATCCCTGAACACGATGGGTAATTTAGCGTGGCCAATCCACCTAACTTGCACCTAAATCTCCACTGGCTGCTTACATGTCACTCAAACGCTCTTTATCATGGATGGGTTGCAACTGAGCAGAGATAGGATGGAGTCCCTTGTGGGAGTATAGCTAGTGTTATTGCAACAGCCTTTAACTAACTCAGCAGGGCAATGGAAACAGGGAAAGCAATTCGAGAAGAATACCAGGATGCACAGAATGCTTGGAGAAACAGATAGCACTAGTATAGAGAGTAAAAAGTTAATACTTGAAGTCAGAGTAAGGGAGAAAATAATGAAGTCTAAATCAAGGTTATTGTATATGTATGTGAATACATGGAGTATAGTAAATATGATTGGGGAGCTAAGGGTGCAGATTGCCTTGTGGGAATATGTTGTGGTTAAAGCGGAGACCTAGCCCAATGAAAGGTAAGATATGGTGTTACATGTTCCTGGGTGTTCAGCAAAGATAGGAAAGGAGGTGGGGCTGCTTTGCTGGCTAAGGACCGCAGAAGAGTGCTGAGAAGAGGAAGCCACACCGGTTCAAGGGCCTGGTTCTTGGAAATGTGGTGAACCAAGTAGATAAAGTATCAGGAGGAGAATTTAGGAAATGTGATCATTGCACTGTATAGTTTAGATGACAATAGAAAAGAGTAATAGGCAATCCAGAGTCAGAATAATTAACTGTGGAGAGGCAAATTCAATGACACTGGCTCTGATAGACTGGAACCAAAGGTCGATGGAAGAAACGGTAGATGAACAATGGGCTACCTTCAAAAAAGGAATGATTTGGGCATAGTCATGGTATATTCTCTCAAAAGGGAATAGTATGGCAAATAAATCCAGAGCTCCCTGGATAAGAATGCAGATAGAAATTAAGACGAAGAAGGAAAATATTGCTTATGACAGATGCCAAATTGAAAATACAGCTGAGAAGCGAGAGAAATACAGAAAATTCAGAGGGGAGGTGAAGAAGTATTTTAGAGAAACGGAGAGGGAATATTAGAATAGATTAGTGGCCAGCATGATGAAGAATCCCAACATTTTCTATAAACATATTAGTAGTGAAACTTGGTAAAGCTAGGGCCAGTTAAGGACCAAAAGGATTCCCTTACACATGGAGACATGGGATATAGCTCAGGTATGAAATGAATACTTTGCCAAGGAGGTGGGTGTGAACCAGGCTATTGTGACTGAAGAGACAACTCTGTCACTAAAAGGGTTCAAAGTTGATAAGTGGGAGGTTTGGATTGACTATTGGTACTTAAACTAGGCAAAGCACTAGGGCTGGATGAAATGCATTGAAGGAAGTAAGAGTGGAATTATTTCAGATAAGTGATTGTTGAGAGGTGCCAGAGGACTGAAGAATTGCAAACATTATTCTATTCTGATACCATGTTTCTGTGTACAACACACCTCTGTGTCTAACAGAAGGTCTTTATTGAAGTGAATTTAAGAAGTACATCTATAGTTTGTGTGCACTGTAGCGTGTGTAGACATTATGTAACTGCAGCAGACTAGAAAGGACATCAATGCAATCATTGTATTTCAATCTAAAAACTTTCCACTTCTCCCTAATTATTGAATGTCATAGTTTTTGAATCTCCAAAAGGTCTCCTTATGTGAATTGAAACCAAGATTATAAACATTACATAGACCAATACGGTGCACTTAAAATTGTGGTTTTATGGAACCTTGCCATGTTTGTGCATATTGGTTCAATCATTGGTTAATATCCTTGGAAGTGGTATTAATAAGTGTAGCCATCAAGGTAATGGTTATATTATTGAACTTTTATCCTTGAATATTATAAATAAACATAGGCATGGTTGTTTGGCATTGACTGTAAGCTCCATTACAGTCATCAGCAGCTTGAATATCTTTCTTCATGGAGTCCTGGTTGTGGATTTACTGTCAAGACTGAAGGTCTTTTATCAAAAATAAAAAGCGAACATTACAAATCCCATCTTTCACTCAGTGATAGCACTCTCCTGGAAAGCAAAAGTGGAGTCAGAGTGAATTTAAGCACAAATCCAGGAGATTTAAGTTCATAATCTAGACCATTAAGTGAAAGCCTGAAGAAGGTACTGCAATGTTAGAGGTGTGCTGTTTGGAGGAGATGTTAAATCAAGATCCTATTGGCTGTTTCAGGTGGTTTTAACAGCACTATTAATTTTCCTCATAATCTGACCAACATTTACTTTCACAATCAAATTTATTAAAGCCAAGTTATCTGCTCATTTATCACATTGTTGGTTCATGGGATCTTGTGTTCAATTTGTCTGTTACATTTTTCTGTATCGTAATTACACTTTATGACATACTGAGAC